AGCCCTGATGTTTTGTTGGTTCGTTAGTTGAGTTGTGCTGTCTGCAGTTGTTGTGTTGGCTATGGGAAACCACATCTCTCTCTTTGTATGTTAGCTTTGCAACAGCGGGTGTGGTGTCAGTTCGCAAACCCACAACCACTGCTTAATGTATACCAGATTGAAACAGGCATCTATTATATTGAATCCAGCACATAAGTTCCGATGAAAATTTCTCCGGGTAATTTTTCCTGTTTTATATCGTCTCAGTCTTCGATTTCCTATTTAAGTTACTCAAAATCCTCTCTTAGGATTTGATTTTGAATTCTATTGTATTTTTACGACAGAGACAGACGTCTTTCACTCCGTGCAGCGTTGCCTGAAGCACATTGAGTGAAGCACTATTTGTTGGTGCCGCACTGCGATGGGACAGTGCAGCTCAGACCGTAAGGGATCAGTAGACAGACAGAACACGTCACTTAGTTCTGTTTCTTAGCCTGCTTGGTTTCATGGTTGTAAATCGGCCCTAATCCCATCCCACCCACATCGTCTTTCCCCTCAGCCAGAAGGGGAAACAACAGGGAAGTGCAGAGACAGTCAATGAAAGAGCGAGATGTAAGCCGTAAACAGCTGTTTCCAAAAACCTCCCCCTGCTGAATTCGACTGATTGTTGTGATTGATCAGATTATTAAATGGAAATAAATAATGCTCAGTACGTGATGACAGTTTAGTTTTGTTTGAACAGCTAAGACCAATGACGTTGTCCAATGTACTCACATCACTCATTTGGACATCGGGAGCACCGGGACAAATTGTGATGGCTGATGGTGGATAGTCAAATAAAATCTATTTGAATCTCTGTGGACCTGTCATTCAGGGTGAGACTGTGGATGTTCCAAGACACAGCAGTCAATATGCATAAGTCATCTGGCCCATCACCTCACCCCTGCTGGGACTTTTTCTCACCCTCGACCGACCAGAACAGCCCCTAGCACTGCCTGAAACTTAGCTAATGTTAGTTACATTACCTCATGTCTCATTGTTTGCTCTTTATCAGAATCAGAAGTACTTTATTAATCCCTGTAGGGAAATTCTAATTATCATTGTCAGGACAAATACTATGGATTACATTTGTAGGTTTTTATTGCCACAAAGAACTAGAAACAACAAAAAAAAACATGCTAGAGATATGGATTTATTTGGATTGATGCATGATTCTAAATTCTACGTTTTATTACCTCGTTATAACTAAGAATATATTTTCCTTTTGAACAGCCAGCGCGTGTTATTTACGTTGCTGGGCAATACTCATCCGATCATTTGGAGTTTGGAGCCTCTGTGGGAGCACTGGGGATCTGCTTTACTGTTGAGTTCAAATATCAATAGTTTTTCCTCCAGAATCACTTCATCTTCCTGTAATGCACATGGTGACACTTTTTGAACATTTGAACACAGCACCATGTATATGCTACATGTATGTGCGATGTTCATACACATTTCTTTTTTATTGCATTTCATCCTGTCTCAACTCTGCTTGGTTTGCAGATCACAGTATCATAAAGATTTAAATTCATTCCCTAAAATGTGATTTTGGGTTGCCTTCCTCCATTTTAAATTTCAATCAAGGGATGACAGTTTCATTAAACTATCATTTTTATGTTAAGTACTTCTCCCTCTTCCACTTAAATTTTCTCTCTCCGAAAGGACCCTAATTGAAGTGTCCCACTGCAATGACCTTGGAATGGTAATTTTAAACCGAGACATTTATCTCTGCCTTTGTCGCCAGTTTAACTTATGTCCTCTGATAAAAACTCTTCATGGAGTCAAGCATGCATCAATCTAATGGCTGTCAACCTAATGCAATTTGTACAGCATAACTCATGGGCAATGCTAACTCAGAGTACATTAGTAGATGGACTTAAAGAAAATAACAAAGGCAATACTTGATTATAATACTTATAAAACGTAACACAAACTAGTGCAATTGTTTAACTAGGAATTTTTACTATTCATGTAGAACACTAAACTTGGTCTTTATGCATAATAATACAGCTTTAGATAAGGTTGGGAGGAATTGCATTGTTCTTTTTGCAATTCCTGCTCTTTTTTGTGCATTAAAAGTATAAAACATATAAATATTCGATGTATCTAATTTTTGTCATCCATATATTTAAACAGTTAACACCACACACATTTTTGGCATGCTTGTTACATGGCTCTATGGGTTGCGGTATCTTTGGTCCACATTGCAAAATCTCAACAGCTGTGCCATGAGGTTTATGCAGATATTCACAGTCGCCAAAGGATAAACCCTCCTCACTGATACCATTCATTCTGAGTTGTTTTGAGTGAATAGGTGTTTCCAGATGATACAAGAAAAACATGAACTCAACACTGATGTTTTTTTCTGTGTATCTGTTTACAGGGATATCAATAAAAAACTAAATAACCTTACATGAAGGCCACAAAGCATTTAAGTGTCTCCCAACTACGGTCATCCATTTTTTGTGTATCCTAAAAACATTTCTCGTGTCATCAGCACATTTGTCTATTTGGTTGTGTTGTCAGTATCCATATCTTGTTTCTGTATTTGGTTGTGTTGTTTTTTATCTGCGGCATGTTTGTCTATGTTGATGTGAGTATTTTTCCTTTAAGGCTCCGATGTGAGTCCTTGCACTACATGTGTTCATCAAATGATGAAGATGTTTTCTGAATTTGCTTGTGTTTTGTCTATTTACATGCGTTTTTTCAAGTTGCTGTGTGTTCAACTCTCATGGCCACCATATTGATCAAACAGTGCAAGAGTCTGAGCAATTTATTTCTGCAGCAGATCAAAAAGCATAATAAAAAATACATTGCTAACAGTTGCGTCATATTATTTATTGGTGTACACAATGGATGACCAATTCCATACAGAAGCCTTTCTCTCTTTGAAAAATGAAATTCTCATCTGTAGTTTTCTTGGTTGCTGCAGATGAAAGTTTATTTTTGAACAACAATGAAGTACGGTTTAATTAAATTATTGTTCGCCTGTGGTTATCTTATCTTATCTATGATTATTTACTGTTAAGCTTCAAGATATCCTGTCACATTGATGTTCACCTGTTTATGTATTTTTTACATTTGTATTTGAGGATATTCAATATTTAGAGATCAAAGCAATTACAGTGATTTAGGCAACTATTCAAATCAATGTTTGATCTCTTCCATCTATCTTTAACCCAACTGACACAGACACATTTGGGTTTGGTTTTTATAAAAACTACTGATAAAAGATTGGTTTCAAACTGTTCTAATCACTTTCCCTTGTTTTCCTGTTTATATGCACCTGTGTTATAAGATGGTGCTGGCAGCACTTTCGGTTGGTCCATCTGTTGATCAATCAGTCCACACATTGTATTGTAATGTTTGTTTAAAACTGAAGGAAGTGAATTACCTTAATGTGAAAGGATGCCGGCCTCCTTTGATTGATTCATTTTTCAATACTTTATCTATTTACTAGATTTTTATCGGGTCTTGGAAATGTCCTTCTAACTAAGAAACAGAAACAAACACCCAAACATAACCTTCTTTGTGGATGTTATAATTTATCATATCTTGAAATCAGCAGTTTAAAATTAAGTACTATGACATTTCGCAAATACACATACTTGCCAGTGGATAGTGACAACCCTAATGACTTCTCCTTTAGTGCTATAGCTTCAGAGAAAAAACTAAATCACTGTGTGCCATGTAATATATTGTACTCTGTAATTTGGATCAATTCAAATGATGTGGCCTTTCCTTTCCACTGCGCTGAGACGGTTCATTACTGTTTACTGGAACCTCAACGAAATTCAAATTACAGGGATACCGGATACAGGTCATGTCAGTAGCTGGACCTTAATTGAAAGATTCAGAATAGTCAGTTTTCACCTTTTGACAGTTAATCTCTAATCATCTATCATGAATCATCCATGATTGATTATGCAGGATAACTGACAAGGGAGGCCAAAGCAAAGAGTGAACTTTCTGCAGGTCACTCAAACCAACCAATCATTGTGGCTTTTTGTTACATCAGAACCAGTGTGTTAATTGTGGTAGATATTGGATATATATATATATAATGGAGGATTTGCCTGCAGTTAGCAACTGTGAAGGCTGACTCATGCAATAAATGCACACAGCAATATTTCCCCTCACATTGTCTTGAAATGATTTTCACATCAGGGGATTTGTCCAGTCAATACTAACTCTACATTTTCAAGTCAAAGACAATTTTGCTGAACATGAGTAATAGATGAATATCTTGTCAACTCAGGCCTGCAGGGCGGAAGGATATTGGCAGTAAGAGGCAGAAGGTGCTCAGGGATTGCTAGTTCCTCAACACTGCGACCAATCAGGATTCCTACACTAAAACTTCATCCACACAGTTATACGTCTATAAATAAATGTCACTGAAGATGCACAAAAACACAGTAATACAGCACAAGCGAGTTTTTTTAATTTGTCTTCAACAAAAAGAGAAAAGAACTGACAGTGACTGGCATCATCCTCTGCTATTTATCTGGTGTAATCCCCAATAGGTTTAACAAGC